ATGTATTGATTGTTAGACTTGTTTTATCTATTCTAATTTGTTCATGGACTGCCTTGTGGGTAATGTATTGTTAGGATTTGATCTATTTCTTGATAAATTCATTATGAACCCTTTTACCCCTAACCCTAGGTTATGAATTGAAGTTAATTAGGGTAGTGATGATGCAATTGACTTCATTATTGTGCTAATTTATTGTGTGACGATATTACACCCATTATTGGGTTAAATTGGATTATTGATGGATAAACCTTGATGATTGCTTGTGAAGGAGATTGGGGTAAGTCTTGTGATCTCAATCCTTACTTCAATTATGATTACTTGTGTTTAGTGATGAAATTGTATTAAAGTATACCTTATGATAAGATTGATTAGGGTTGGTATGATGTTGAATCGGAATGTCTTGAATTATGACTTGTGAGTTGTTGGCTAAGATGTAATAATATAAGAATGGTGATGACTTACCTATATGCCTTATAAACTAATATATGATGATTAATAAAGGCTTAAAGTTATTTCAAAAGGAACTCTAGCTTAGAGCCGAGTGAACTTGAAGATGAGGGGTGGCGCCTTCCCAATGAGGGAATGTAGGGTTCACCATAGTCCTCACGGGGTGGATGGCCTCATAGCCCAAAAAGGCCATAGATTGATCTTTCCATGACAATCCAAGCTCCATCAAATATATTTCCACCATAAAAATACTAGCTAGTGGATCCACCTAGATGCCATGTACATGTTTGGTACTACTTTGGCCAGTAGATAACCTTCAATCGGTGTAAGGTTTTACAACACGGATTCCACACTTAGCTCTTGTAGTCTATGCAGGTTAAGCCAAGTGTTCCCGAAACTAAAATGAAGTAAAAACTACCTAGGGTGACTTAAGAGGTTTGACTTAGCCTAGGTACGAGTATGGGACTATACCTTTGAAGGACTATACCTATGGGACGAGTATGGGACTATACCGTCCATTGAGCTTATAGAAGGCCTTTGAAGACTACTTGGATATTCCTCAAGTGTTCGGTAGGTCCTCACTTTCTGAGGACGATGCCACTATCAAGCTATTGATGTAGTTCTAGTTATAAGACTTCTAGTTCTTTCCTCTTCATTTGGAGATGATTGTTATATAAGCCTATATAAGGCTCTTTGTTGTAATGAAGTATGGGTTAAGCCCAAAATGTTGTATTCGTTTTATATGGTTCTAATATGAGACATATTATACTTCCTATAAGATTATGTTCCTATAATATGTATGTGAAATAAAAATAGAAGCCAATGTAGTGCTTCCTATCATCAGGTATCTAAGTAAACTCCATAAACATATATTATGTGTAAGCAAGAGGTCTAAGTAAACCTCAATGTAAAAGTAAACAAAAAGTTTTAATTTTTTTTTCGTTTTTAACCTATGAAATGTAATGACGAATGCTAAGAGGTTAGTCTTAGTCCTCTTCGAGGACGACGACACCGGTTACTTTTAGGGGATGCTCTCGGATGTGACACCTAAGACGTCATAGTCTAAAGGCATCATTTCATGGCCTGCAGACATCATATCATGACCTAAGGATTTAATTTCTGTGTATCATGATTTGAATGTATCATAGTCTAAGGGCATCATTTCTTCATTGCCTAGAGACAACATTTTCATGACCTGAGGAACTAATTTTTCGTATTATAGCCCTTGAAATCATAGCCTAAGATATCATTTTCATAGTCTTAAGGCAAACTTCATGGTCGATATGGGAAATTGCATCATGTTTACCTTTATCATCTATTTCATATATTTGCCCTAATCATATTACAAGTTACAGATTTGCAGAGAGTGACAGTTTGTAGGTGTGATTATCTCTCTCGGCTACGATTATCGTGCTTAGATCTATCACAACGAAAGCCCTACCAATTCTCCACTGCTCATATTGCTCCTTTTTATCTTAAACTTGCTCATAGTTGGAATCACTCTATCATGCTATTCTAGCTACTCTAATTTTTTCTATTCAAGCTGATATCATATCCTTTTGAATATCGTACCACTCTTTCAATTTTTAGGAGTTTTGTTTTCTCTTGAATCTAGAACTACATACGACCTGATTCTCGTATAACCAGATATATATAGGCGGCTTAATACCAAAGTCTCGGTCGTACCCCTCTCCTATCTCCAACTCTATATCATTTCAATTGATCCCACTAACATCTCTCATCGGTCGAACAAAATCGGCTACTAAGTTAACGTTAGTTGCCTGACAATTCATTCTTCATTCCCGAGCAACAAAGGGGCAGTTGTCGATATCTAATTTTTATCAACCTTTAGCCAATTTTAGAATGCTATTCGATTAAGTACGTATTTTTTAAAATACATTTCGAGTTTAAAATTTTAGTAGATTTTATCAAAAAAAATTATATTTTAGTATGCATATTTATTAAATCATTGTAAATGTTCTTAAAATATTTTTAAAAATTATTAGTAGAACTTGAAATAATTATTTCATTCAAATGTTATAAAATTTAATTGATTTTAATTATATAAAATATATTATAATATTTTTAGTATTTTAATTGGATAGCAATTCCTTAATTTCTTCTTCAAAATCATTTAAATCTCAGCCTATTCTGGCCTAATTTATTTCAATTCTAGCCACTCCAATTCAAATTTATATCAACTATAGCCATTATTAATTCAAATTGTGGTCCATTTCTTACTCCAATTTCAATTTTCAGCTTTAGTCATTCCAATCCAACTCTCAAATCCCATCTTAATCTCGTCTGTTCATTCAAATCTTGATCAAAAGATATCGAAATCGTGGTCGTTCGTCCCTCTAATCTGATAGTCAAGATTTCAAACCATTTTCTTTCCTATTTTAGTTCAAAAAGGCCTAAAAAACTTTTTTCATTCTTCTCCTTGTCCTCTCTTCTAGAACTGGTGTTGCCCTTCCTCTCTATGATTTTCGGCAAGATCACCACCATTTGCTGGTGGCAGCCCTCCTCTTTTGATCTCCGTTGCTCTTTCTATTTCTCAAAAGACCCGCCGCCCTCTCCCTCATCTTTTCCTTACTCCGGCGAGACGCAGCAGCAACCAGTAGCGAGGCGAGGCGAGCTACCGGCGAAAGTCACCTGGAAGTAGTGATCCCTACAAACCTATTCTCTTCTCTTTGGAACCGGCGAAGGCAGCCAACGACCACAACAGTGCCTGGAGAGGCCACCAGTGAAGGCAAACGACAGCAACATCAACAACCGACGAAAGCTCCGGCTGAAGCAGCAACAACAACCGACGGAAATAGCAGTGCCACCACTCGCCTGCTTATCCAGTGAAGACAACAGTAGCACATAGATGGCCAATAATTGGTCTTTTTCATTCTCCCATCAGCGAGCTATGAAGCAACAGCTCCAACGCAGTCGTATCCGCCTCCGGAGAGTCGAGCTCTAACCAACAGCTACAATACCAAGTAAAGCAAGATAAAAAAGCTTAGATAAATTTCTCAAATTTCAGATCTGTTCGAGTATGTTTAGTTTCATGATTTATCTAAAGTTATTACTTATTTGTTTTGTGACTTAAGTCTGAGCATCTAGCACAGTTAGAGTTCGATGTTTTCGTCACTATTCTCCCCTATTATTTGTAATAAATGGTTTTTGACACCTAATTTTGTCCCTTCAATATATAAATTAATTATCGAAAACGATTTAAAATAATTAGTTTTATAAGAATTTCAAAAAAAAATTAAATAAATATAATTTGCAAATTATTTTAAATAGTTTCGTTGCTTTTTCATAATTTTAAATAATTTATACGTTCTATACAATTATATATAATTAGTATATTTTATGAATATTCGAAAACCATCTAAAAAAATTTTACTTTTTAGTTGAATATTTTATTAAATCAGTTTCTTTTGAGTTGGCATATATTTTTTAGTTATTAATTTACAATCAAGTTAATTATTATATCTCGTTAAGATTAAGAGACCATTAATTAATTAATATTAATTCATCTAAAATTAAACTCAATTGGCTAACTTCTTAGTTCCTATTTGGCTATAATTTCAATCTAATTGTCAATCTTTTCAATCCCTTTTTAAACTTAATTTGCAAGACCAATTTTCTGGCCTTATCAACAGACCACTACATTCACTCCAATTCCTCAATACACCTTCAACCCAACATAGCCCCAACACCTAAATTATTAGAAAAAAATATATATATAATAGCAAACTAATAATTTAAAATAAATGAAGTAGATAGAGTTTAATTTAATTGTGTTCCATAGCAAACTTTTGCAAAAAATTATCAGGCGCCTCTCTCCCAAATATCTATCTCGCTCGCCACTCTCCTCCAATCTTTTGCTCGCTTCCTCACTTTTTATACAAATAGAAGTGCATAAAAATTATTTCTAATTATATAAAGCAGAGAAAAATGTATAAATACATATATTTTTGTTCCCCTCTCTCCCCTCTTCCAGATCTCGCTCGCCACTCTCCCATATCTCGCTCGCCACCCTCGCCTTTCTCACTTATATAAACAGAAGCGAAATATATAAATTGTGTTTCTGTTTGTATAAAGCGTGAAAAAATTGTATATACACATGCAAATACATATATTTTCATCTTAAACACTTATGATTATAGAATAAAAATACTCCCTTGCCCAGTTTCTTTTGTCTTTCTCTCTTTCTCAATTTGTACAATTTTCAGATTGTATCTAATTTCTCTCTTTCTCATTTTGAACAATTCGATTCAATTGTATATTCCCTGTCAAGTCTTTTTTGTCTTTCTCTCTTTCTTATTTTATACAAATTTAAATTGTATATAATAGTTCCATACACTTATAATAATACAATTCGTTTTATACATTTCGTTTTTATACAGTTCTCTGCCCAAGTGTCTTTCTCTTTCTTGTTTTATACAATTTGCTTTAACTGTATATGTATAGCGAATTATACATTTTCTATATTTGCTATGGAGCGCAATTTGCTATATCATAAAAATATAAATTTTTTATTTGTTGTACGTGAAAGTTGCCAAAATTATTATAACCTTCAGCCCACCTCAATCCAATTCTTTCAATGTTTGACCCATCAGAGAACCGACCCAACCCCTTGATCCCTATGTTTATCTTCTTCGTGACCAAACGCAAATCCAGAAATACACAGCAAAGCTCACTCCATCCACGAAATCATCCCAGAAAGAGGGCCACGACTCTGACAGCCACAGAGCATGCGGCGAAGCGACAACCCATCACCATCGCCGTTTCCTTTCTCCCCTTTTCAGGGATTTCCCATCTCTGCGTCGAAAAGGGGCATATGAATTCAAATTTCCCAAAGTTCGATCGAATTTTTGCCTTTTATAAATACTTTGTTGTCATCACTGTTAGAAAGGGGATAGAGAAGAAACAGAAAAAAAAAAGAGAGAGGAAATTGGTGGAGAGAAATGGTGGAGGGGGGAAACAAAGGGGGATAAAATATTCTCCCTTTGTTTCTAAGTTTCGAGGCAGTAGCCGCTTAGATTTTCTTGGTTTGCTGTTCCTATTTGAATTTTGTGGAAGAAGAATCGTTGTACTCTCAAGCTCGTCGTCCCAGAACGCTGCTCCAAAGAAGGTAACTTCCTCTCTTCTCCTATCTCATATTGGTTGCTTTTACACTCAATGAATTTATTGTGTTTGAATTCGGTTAATCTGTGAACTAAGACAGCAATGGCAATATACATGTTTTCCATGCATTTTCATATATGTATTGTTGATGACTTTGTTTTATTACTGCTATATATATATAAAATTTTATTCATTGTCTTTTGTATCATATGCATGTTATTCCATATTCATGAAAGTATTCCATTCATCTTATATGTCGGGATCTAATGGGAACTTAAATTTTGGTTTAAATTTCCTAGGCATGTTGTTTCCTTTAAAGTTATGTTCTCTATTCAAATTTATAAATTCCGTGTCATAGTCTTTGCATAATTTCCTTTCTCATTCATTTATTATTATGGGATTTTCATTTAACTTCAACTTGGGATTTACTCGTTGTATGGTTCTGTTTTTGTTTTTAACGGTTTGATGTCTTCTTCATGACTAAAGTTGGGAAGAATCAATAATGGTTTTGCTGGATGAAAAATTATGTTCACTGTTTGTTCATTGAAGTGTGAATATGAATATTTAGCATTTGTTCTTTTTTTTTCTGATTTTGTTTTTCTCATGTTTCTTTAAAATGCCTGAAACTTTCAGTGTATTTAGTTCATCTTCCTTGTTGTTTTAACTCCCTAAGAGGCTTGTAATTATTGGTGATGTTTGTCACCCCTTAAGGTTTGTGATTAAGCAATCTGCTTCCTTTCCTCTTCCTCTTTGTTTGTTAAGAATTGTCATTTGGAGGTTAAATTTAGTTAATATTATTGGTACTTATATGTGTTTTGTGGATAGTGTTTCTTCATGTCCAAATTGTTGAGTTCTAGTTGTGATAAGTATTAGAAAACATTTATTTGTGTCGTCATTGTGATGTTTTGGAGTCTGAAAATAGCATAAAGATATGGATCTTTATTTTCCTACATTACATCATATGAGTTGTTACTTATAAGTTGCTTATTCTTGTTACATGTGAACCTCGTCCGAGTCTCTTGTGGACTTTCTTTTCTCTTTGCATTTCCGATACGAGCCATGGAGGATTCAATTTCTTTACCGAGTCAGCCCCATTCTTAGTCAAACCATTGAAAACAGAATTACAGATTGAGCACAGGTTACTGGTCCAGTACCCCAAGAAAAGGGGCTGATATGCAGCCTGTATACATTCATCATACAATGGTATACAAGTTCAGCGCAACGAATGCTGGAAAAAAACAAAGATACAGGTTGTAGGCATCAAGGGGGACTGTATACAGTCGATATATGGGTCGATATATAGGAAACAGTACTGATTTGCGATCTGTGTACACTGATATACGGCTTGTGTATACAAAAACGGGTTTTGGATTAAACCCCAAAAGTAGCAGCGAATTAGGCCTAAGAAAGGCCCAAATTCAACTTCTCTCCCTTACTCTTAAAGTATTTGATTGTGATTATTCATCTTTGTTGTTTATTAATTCTTAACTTTTATTTTGTTTTGGTTTAACTTAATTAAATTCCCCCAAAGATAAACTAATTTCTTTTATGTTGGTTTATTTGATTAAATAAAATTTTCATTTTATCAACTCTTGAATATATTTAACCAAAACCTTTTATTTATTTTACAATTAATTCAAAATGGTTTTCATGCTCAAATTAACCAATTTAGTTTAAATTATTATTTTACAAATGAGAAGTAAATTCTAATAAATTTTAGTTTCGTTAAAATTCTAGTCTTGCATTTCAATACGAATATTTCAACTAAGTACCAGTTTTCTTAGAAATTAAAAAACAAAACTTCTTTTTTAACTATTTTATCAAGCTGATCAAATATTTTAAATTAATTTTATTATGTTTATATCAATTCATTTTCCTAAAAAATAGTCAAATAATTAATCTAAGTCGTGGGATAACTGTGTGTTAGCGGACGCTTCAAATGCTTTAAAAATCTTCTTGAAGCGTAAACAAGAATTTCTTACCCATTTTTTCTAAATTTATTAAGATTTAATCTATCTTTTAAAATTAAGTTTTCTTAATTTCTTTAAAAGATTAAGTGGCGACTCTTTCTAAATATTTTCAAAAAAAATGTTTTATACTTAAAACATTTCAAAAAGTGATTTTTCTAAAGATAGTAAAATACGGCATAACAATGGTCTCTGTTAAGTTATTGGACATGCTTGTCTCAGAAGATGATTATTATTTGTTATTTGATTATTTTCCTACCCTCCTGTTAACATTTAATTCCTCCATAATTGTGACTTTTTTTACTGAATATGGGAAACTTATTGTGTTGTCTTAATTGATTTTGTACTTGAAATAACAGATTGGGTACTTAACTTAATTATGATCTAGGCTAATTGAAATACTCAACTGCATGTTCGTTAATTCGGATCTTTAACCCCCGTGTTTTGATTTATGTTAGGGAAACTAAGTGATCATTACAGTTCGTGATTTTGGCAAAAACTTTAAGTGGTTGTGGTAAGAAATCTTTATGAATTGTGTGTCTTTTTCATCTAAGGGAAATAATATTGCTTATTGTCTGCCGTAATTAGAATGAAGTTGGTTTCTTGTTTGTTTTATATTTTGTAAAATTGTGTCTTTTTGGTAAATATATTTTACTGATTTATATTTTCCTTGGTAAGGAAATATAGTCTCCCTTAATTGCTCCTTGTTGAGTATTCTTTTCTCTTATTTACGCCCTCTTCTCCATCACTATATAATAGGACCCCTTTCTTCATTATAATTCACTCTCACATCTTGATATTGTCTCACCCTCTGAAAATATCAAAAAGAATACTCTCTACTCTTGAAAAGAAATAAGAACTCCAATTTAATTTTGTATCATTCTTTGTGATTTTGTTGTGTTGTTATTTCGGTGGATATCTCTTAAAAATACTGCTTTGCTTGTATTTATTTCTGCTAATTGATTGGTTAGTAATTATTTCATTATTTTGAATTTTGTTTTTCATCATCTATTTTAAATATTGTGTATTTGAAACAAATAAAAGGGAAGCAATTTGGTTAGTTCTCTTTACCTCTCTATTCTATGTGTTATTGTGTGTGGCCTGTTTAAATTATTGCAACGTTACATATATGTGAATGATATTTTATTATGTATGTTCATTTTTTATATGTATTCGGTTGTATTGTCCCTTAGCAGGATCTTGATCTTAGAGTTCAAGGTTTTGAAGAGTCGCTTTGGAGAAGATAAAGAGTTTGAACATGCATTGACATGAAATTGAGTATAAGTTGGGCACGTGGAGATTGTCTGTGCTGGGGATGGTGAGATGTTAAGATTGTAATTTGGGAACGTGGATACTTTTGTGTGGAAATTGTTTAATTTTATGATAGTGCGTTGAGATCGTCTGCACAGACACGTGAAGATCATCTGTGTCGGTATATGGACCTCGCGAGTCCCCCATAGTTCATGAACTCTCGATGTATTTTTGAAGAGTATCATGTATATACGATTGAATGAGATATAGTGGGTACACGTGGTTTCGTACTCATACTACACTAGTTGCACTCTTTGTGGTGCAGATTCGATTCTGAGTAGGAGCACATCTCGTGGAGCATTTTGAGTCCAAGTTGGAGTGTATTGGAGTTGTGGTGAGCTGCTTGGCTAATATGTGGCCCACACCTCCCTCTATCTTTTACTTATTCTCTTATTTTAGTATTCAAACAGGATATCCCTTATGTTAGATTTGTCATTTTAGTTTCAGACTTGCATCATATTTTAGAAGCTCTTGTACTTATGACACCAATTCTTGGATGGTATTTAATTTTCTGCAGTACGTACTTATAAGGAGCTTTATGTTGGAGATTTTCACTTAGGGTTAAGAAAAAATTTCTCACTATTTAGTTAAAATTGGTAAAATATGTTGGGTTTGTTTACCTATCGTTTGGGAACATAGATGCCATCACGACTTGTGAATTTGGGTCGTGATAATTTGGTATCAGAGCCCTAGGTTCATCGATCTCACGAGTACAAGAGCAATGTCTAGTAGAGTATTGCGGATTGGTGTGAAGACGTCCATACCTATCTTCGAGAGGGTATAGGACATTTAGGAAATATTCTGTTCTTTCATTCACTATCGTGCACACTTGACTTTGTTGAAATTCTAATAGTGATATCTCATTCTTTTAGATGGTGAGGACTCGAACATCGGCAAGTAGTGGTTAGGATCCTATTTCTGCGCCTGCTTCTGGGAAAACTATCTGAGGTAGAGGCAAGGGACGAGCTCGAGCTCGAGGTCAGGGTAGGGGACGTATTGCAGCATTTGTGGAAGGTCAAATACAAACAGCTACCTAGGGTCGTGATAGGACCGTACCTCCTGATGTAGAGGTTATTCATGGGGATGTGCAAGATTGTGTCGAGGGGGATGAGCCAGCTCAGGCTCCACCCAGTACTATTGTTACCCCAGTGCTTCAAGATACCTTGAATCATATGTTAGGACTCCTAGAGGGGATGGCTCAGGCAGAAGCTTTGCAAGTCACTTTTGATAGCTCACAGACCCGTGTTAGAGGTTAGACTCCAGATCCAATAGTTGCTCCAGTTTCTCAGACTCCCAGGACTCAACCAGATGTTGTTGTAGCCCCTCGTTTGGATAGTATGGAGTTTCAAGATAATGCATCATATTTCACGAACATGCCTTCTATGACCATTGATGAGCAAAAGATGTTTGGGAGGTTCAAACTAATGAATCCTCCTACTTATACTGGTGACTTAATAGAGGATGCATATGAATTTATAGTTAGTTGTCATGAGAGGTTGCATAATCTTGGACTAGTGGAGTCTCATGGAGTTGACTACACAACGTTTCAGATGACTGGTTCTGCCAAGCAGTGGTGGAGGGATTATATTAGTAGTAGGCTAGTGGGATCCCCTCCACTATCCTAGACTCAGTTTACACAGGTATTTCTATCCAAATTTGTTCCACGTTGTGAGAGGGAGCGCAAGAGGGCCGAGTTTGAGGGTTTGCAACAAGGTGGTATTTCAGTTGCAGAGTATTAGGGTAAATTTCATGACTTGGCTATGCATGCTTCGATGCATTCGTCAGGTTGCTGCTTCTGGTGTTTCGTTCCAGAAAGTGGTAGATGCTGCTAAGAAGTTAGAGATGATTCGATGTGAGGTATTTGAGCAGCGTGAGAGCAAGAGGACCCATTCTTCAGGTGATTATGATGGTGATCCTCCTAGGAGTCGAGGTTATGTAGAGAGAGGTTATCACTCTCAGTCCAGCAGACCCATTCATGCTGCTATACCTGCGTCTGAGGCTTGTTACGCTGGGCATAGTTCTTCGAGCTCAGTGCATACTTCACAAGGTTCATCTTCTAGACGTATAGTTCGTGGAGGTCATTCAGGTTCCTCTCATCAGCCTGCGTCTCGTAGGGGCTGTTTTGAGTGCGGTGATATGGGACATTTTGTGAGAGACTGCCCTAGGACCATACGATGTGGCTTACATCAGGGTTCTCAGGCTTCAACTTTCAAGGCTACACAACGTCCAGCTAGGGGTGGTGCACAGAGTGGTAGAGGATTTTCTCATTCAGATAGAAGTGGTTCTCCTTCTGGTCGAGGTGGTGGTCATGGAGGTTCACAATCTGAGGGTGGTCGTTCTCATTGTTATGCTTTTTCGGGTAGGCCAGAGGTTGAGGCTTCAGATGTTGTTATTGATATACCGTGGTTTCACGGTATTATTAATACTTTTTCCTTAAGTTTAGTGTGTTCAAAAGCCTTTTTGTGCTAATTTTTATATAAATTTCTCCTTATTTGCAGGAAATCTGTCCAAAGATGAATGCGGAGGTTTTTGAGCGAAGAAATGCAGAAGAGACCACCTACGGAGCTTGTGACGGTTCGTCATGCTTGTGACGGTCCGTAGGTGGCAGCGTAGTGCAGTTGCTGAAGGAAGATGAGGAAGTCTGACCAAGTGTGGGGTTACGGAAAACTTGACGGACCGTCGTAGCCATGACGGTCCGTCCTGCAGGTTCGTCATGAAGATATGAGAAGTAGCCCCAGTACCCATATTCCAAGAGTTCAAGTGTTTTGAAATGGAGACCCTCGACGGACCGTTGTGCTAATAACAATCTGTCATACCTGCTGTCGAGGGTAATGAAGAGAGAAGCAGAAGAAATTTCATCAAGTATGGAACGACGGAGTCCATGACGGTCCGTCATGACCACGACGATCCGTCGCGATGTCCGTCGATCCAGCCGCATTTTGACAGATTTCCAGAAAATAGAGTCTATGTTTAATTAGGTTTTTATTTTCTATAAATAGTTCAAAAAAACTCGTTTTTGAGGTTATACTCTAGATTATTAGGTTAGACTCTGGATTATTTGGTTAGGCCCTTGATTATTGTTAGATTCTTGATTATTTTGAGATTCTTTGAATTGATTGTTGGTGATTTTTGTTGATTAATCAGGCGAACTTTTGGATTTTACTCTTTCTCATTGAAGTCAGTTCATGAATTCTTATACCATATATTTGAATATTGTGATTATGACTATGGGTAGCTAAACTCCATAACTAGGGTTGTGGGAACCATAGGCAAATAATAAAGTAAAACCTAACTAAAATAACAATTCTAGAATAGTGTCTTGCATGTATTGATGATTCTTT